TTTTTTCCCCATTACCTGTGCACCCTTCACCCCCTCCACCCTTCCCTATTTACATAGACTTCATTTCTATTTTTTTTCTTTTCTCATAATTTTCCCTTTCCCTTCTTTCCTTTCCCCTTCCCCTCCCACCATTTGTCTCTCTTAATTAGTTTTGGTTTGAAATCTATTTTGTCTGCAAATAAGATCGCTACCCCTGCTTTTTTCCTTTCTCCTGTCACGTGGAGAACTGTTTTCCATCCTCTTACTTTCAGTCTATGAATTTCTTTGTGAACTAAGTGGGTTTCTTGTGTACAGCATATTGTTGGAATTTGCTTCTTAATCCATTCTGCCAGTCTATTTCTTTTGAATGGTGAGTTGAGGCCATTAACATAGATGGTTATAACTGATATGTATTGGCTTATCCTTGTCATGTTATTTTCCTGTTGTTGGCTCTTTTATTTTTTATTTTCCCCCCTTTCCCTTTAGTTTCTTGCCTTGCCTGGTGGATTTGCTTTGTTGGGCCTTATGGAGTTGGGACCTTCATTTTCTTTTTCTAGGATTTTGTTTAGAATTGTTTGGAGTGCTGGTTTGCTATTCATGAAAATTCTCAGGTGTTCTTTGTTGTGGAAGTATCTTATTTCCCCATCAATTTTGAAAGATAATTTTGCAGGATACATCAGTTTAGGTTGGAGGTTGTATTCTTTTAGGGCTTGAAATACTTCACTCGAGGCTCACCTGGACTTGAGGGTTTGTATTGAAAAGTCTGCTGTGATTCTGATGGGCTTCCCTTTGTATGTGATTTGTTTCTTTTCTCTAACTGCTTGTAGTATTTTGTTCCTCTGTTGGGTTTCAGAAATCTTGATTATTATATGTCTAGGTGTAGATTTTTTTCTCACTATCTTTTTTTTTTTGGTACTGGGGATCGAACTCGGGACCTTGAGCTTTCAAGGTAGGCACCAGAACCACTGAGCTAAATCCCCGTCCCTAGGTGTAGATTTTTTTTTTGATCATGGTTAGTTGGTGTCCTATATGCCTCACTCATCTGTATGTCAAATTTTTTCACTGTTTGGAAAGTTTTCTGTCATTAATTCTGTGAACAGTTTTTTTTTTTTTATGTCATTTGTACTTTCTCCTGATTTTTCATGGATTTCTATCAGCCTTATATTATTCTTCTTTGCATCATCTAGGAGCTGGTGGATCGATTTCTCGTGGTCCCTTACTATTTTTAAGAGATTTCTCTTTTCATGGTCACTGACTGCAATCCTGTCTTCTTTCTATATCTGATATTCTGTCTTCACATTTGCTCATTCTGCTGCGAATGCTTTCAATAGAGTTTTTAATCTCCTGGATACCTGTTTGAATCTGTTTCATGGATTCCATTTCTTTCCTATATTGGACGTTCATGTTTTCCATCATGGTCCTGAGCTCATCTATTTTTTTTTATCTGTTTCTATTCTAGAGTCTCTAATCATGTCTTTCATTCTGCTCACCATCTCTATGGTTATCTGGGAAATTATTTCTGTTTTGAATTTTTCTAGAGCTTCATTCATCTGTTTTGTTACTTCCTGTGCCATCAGTGTAGGGTGTCCAGGTGATTGATTATCAGACTTTTTCACCTTGTTTCCCCCAGAATTTGCCTTTGGTGAGCTGGTAGCCT